TGGCCGATCATGATAAATAACTGCGCTGAGCCTTTTCAATAGCTTCGAAGCATTCAGCGACCAACTCGTGGCGCGATTAGCATCGCGTGACACCTTGTTGGGTTTTTACCCTTCTCTGACGCCTTATTAAATATGTTAACATTGTTGCAGGGAAGACATTAACCTTGTATAGGGTATTTTTGCGAAAAAGGCTCAAATGCTAGTGGCCCTAAGAAGTCTAATACTGTACTGCCAACGTGATTGCCCGGGTGAAAATCATGTTTATTCCTAAAAATTTCTGCTACCTATTACAACGAAAGCGTTATGAGATCCCAACTCGGGTGTCACGCAGCGCTTGTACTGGTCCGCCGCCGCCACCGCCACTGCCGCCAGTGTCCCGTAACCTCATCGCGCTAAATTAGCAAGAAAAAAACAAAAACAAAACTCTAAGAAGGCTTGAACAGGGGTCCGCTGGATGCGAGCCCCGTATCCTACCAGTGAGCCATGCTGGTGCTTGGGACTTGTTGGCAAACTTTATGTCGGGAAAGCAAGGACGATAATACCACTTATAAAGCGTTTTAAAACGCGAAAAGCAAGCAATTGTCGCACAATGCGAATAGGGTAAAGAATGGGCCGTGCAATGTTCTAAGTCATCAAAAAAGTGTGTTTTTGTTCCCTTATTAACTGTGGCGCATACCCACTTTGGCACAAAACACTACAACAATTGGCACAAAACACTGCAACAATTGGCACAAAATTACTCGCGATAGTTTACCGGATACCACGCTTCTAAGGATGAGGAATAAACGTTTATTTTCGAGACGGTGTAGCGGTGTAGGTTTCGCGTTCACCTTAGGTGGGAGGTGTCCTCATTCCAGGAACCGTCGGCCTTCGCTGCCTCCTTGGCCCTGGCGTCGTTGTTGGTCCAGGGCCTTGGAGGACCGGGACGAACAACGACGCTTCTAAGCAGAATGACAAACAATAACATAGCGAATGCCAGCCTACTACACTAAAGTATTAATAATGCTGTAGTGGGTATCAAGCAAGTGTGCTTGCAACAGTTACCCAATCAGTGTTTAGAAAAGGCCATGAAAAGTTACTTTTCTAGCTTTCGCTGTGACATTGCTGCGCCTTCCGCACAAGCTATCCGTTTTTACTGTTTTTTTCTTGATTTTTCTGGATCGCTGTTTGGGGAATCGAAAAATAAACAATACGCTGGTGGTGGCGTACAACTACGACGCCAAAACTGGCTCTTGGGAATTCAATACTGTTTTTTGTCATGACATATACGGGTTTCAAACACCAGCGTTTTTAACACAGCCTTTGCCAAGAGCACAAAATAATTCCTTACCGATGACTAGACAGGTGGTCATCATCATCATCATCATCATTATCATGATCATCCTGACTACGTCCACTGCAGGACAAAGGGCTCTCCCATGTTCCGCCAGTTAACTCGGTCCTGTGCTTGCTGCAGCCAATTTATATCAGCAAAGTTCTTAATCTCATCTGCCCACCTAACTTCCTGTCTCCCCCTAAACCTCTTGCCTTTTCAGGGAATCCAGTTAGTTACTCTTCCTGTCCTGTCTACACGCTACATGCCCGGCCCATGTCCATTTCCTCTTCTTGATTTCAACTATTATATCCTTAACCCCCGTTCATTCCCTAATCCACTTTCCTCTCTTCCTGTCTCTTAAGGTTACACCTAGTTACACCTACCGTTTTCCTTTCCATTACTCGCTTCGTCGTCCTCAATTTAAGCTGAACACTTTTTGTGTGTCTCAATGTTTCTGCTCCGTAGCTAAGTACCAGCCGGATACAGCTGTTATATGCCTTCCTCTTGAGAGATAGTGGCAAACTACATGTCATAATTTGAGAGTGCCTGCCAAATGTGCTCCACCCCATTCTTATTCTTGTAGTTACTTCTATCTCGTGGTTCTGCTCCGCGGTTATTACTCGCCCTAAGTAGACATAGTCTTTTACAACTTCAAGTGGTCTATTACCTATCTCGAAGCGCTGCTCTCTTCCAAGGTAGTTGTACATTAGTTTCATTTTCTGCATATTAAATTTAGGACCCACCTTTCTGTTCTCCTTGTCTAACTCAGTATTCACGAGTTGCAATTCGTCCCCTGAGTTACTCAGCATTGCAATGTCATCGGTGAAGTGCAGGTTACTAAGGTTCTCTCCATTAACTCTTATCCCTAACTGTTCCCAATCTAAGCCTCTGAAAACCTCCTGTGAGCAAGTGGTAAATAGCATTGGGGAGATTGTATCCTTCTGCCTTACACCCTTCTTGCTTGGTATTCTGTTGCTTTCTTTATGAAGCACTATGGTAGCAGTTGATTCCCTGCAGATTTCTTCCAGGATGTTTATATATGCTTTATCAACGCCCTGATTCCTCGGTGTCTGCATGACTGCTGATATTTCTACTGAATCAAACGCCTTCTCGTAATCTATGAAGGCTATGTATAGTGGTTGGTTTTATTGTGAGCATTTCTCTATTACCTCATTGATATTATCAATGTGGTCGATTGTTGAGTAGCGTGTTCGAAATCCTGCTTGTTCCTTTGGTTGGTTGAATTCTAATGTTTTCCTAACTCTGTTAGAAATTACTTTTGTAAACAAGGTAGGTAGTGGGTGGCAGCAAAGAATAAAGGCCAGCACCAGTTGTATCTTCCGCCCAGGTCGAGTAAATCGCTTCATCGTGACCAACAAGTTTGAGGATACGGAAGCTTACTCACCCAGAGAGGTTTCAGTGTTGGGTCGATGATGATCAGTAAGAGTGGCCAACGTTTGCTCAGTTTTTACTGCCACTGTCATGGTGATCAGCCTATACCATAAGCTGTTATTAGATCACAATGGCAGTGACAGTTGGGTAGTTGTCCGCTGTCGCCGGTGTCGGTAACCTCTGTCACGCGTAATAGTAAGAAATATGACAGGAGAAAAAATAATGGTTCTTACCTGCCCGTAATCTGCGAATGTCGTCGAAAGACGATAGTCTTGCGTGTGGAGAGAATGGACAAAACATTTATTTGATGTTCTTAGATAGATATGTGGAGTTTAATGCCCCGAAACCACCATATGATTACTAGAAACGCCGTAGCGGAGGGTTCCGAAAATTTCGACACCCTGGGGTTTTTTAACACGCACCCAAATCTGAGCACTTGGGCCTACAACATTCCCCTGTCCATCGGAAATGCAGCCGACGCAGCCGAGAATCAATCCCGTGACCTGCGGGTGGCAGCTGAGTGCCTTAGCCACTAGACGACCGCGGCGGGGCTCATTATTTTGTAGAAAGTACTACGTAGGGTACTTGATGTTCTGCGTAAGAAAATCGGTGAATGGTATTCTTGAGGCGCTGCGTTAGAGTGCCTCGAGCGTGCAGCGGAAGAGAACGAGCACATCAAGTCACATCACGCGTGAGATATGAGCGCCATCTGGTAGTTTTCTTGGAAAACAAAGCGCGTGGCTCTGAGACAGGTGTGTGCGCCTGTCTCAGAGGTGATCAGGTGTAGAACGCAAGGTCACGGGTAGGTGCCACCACCTTAGCACAGCGTTGGAAACACTCGCCTTTTCTTGCAAGGGTTGCATAATAAGCGCAGCGTGATAAACGCTACGTTCCTTAAAATTACCTATGTATGCCTGTTCTAGTAAAAGACGCACATGCAGAATATATACCTGTTGTTGTGGCACGCCAGACATGCGCGATAAGTGCTTTTTAATTGGCAATTGCACAAGTATGAACGATGAATCTTGAGCAACATATGTGGTCGCGGCGGATGTGGTCAGCCGTTTCAAGCACCCGGTGCCGTTAAGAGTAGACAAACAGACAAGTGTACAGACAGACAGACAGACAGACAGACAGACAGACAGACAGACAGACAGACAGACAGACAGACAGACAGACAGATAGATAGATAGATAGATAGATAGATAGATAGATAGATAGATAGATAGATAGATAGATAGATAGATAGATAGATAGATAGATAGATAGATAGATAGATAGATAGATAGATAGATAGATAGATAGATAGATAGACCAAACTTTTTGCGTCGAAGGTCCCCAAAAAAGACTATCGTCTTTAAAACTTGGAAGCTTTAAAAGCATGCGTCGCGAATACTTAGAACCCTCAATGGTAATCGAAAGCTTGTTACATCTTAAGCAGATGACCCACACACCCTGCAAATACCGTTTCGAGCTCTGCGCATGTACAGTGGCACATGCGAAAATGTCAGTGCCGTTAAGAGAACAACGCTTTTCATACCCTTTCCCTAGTCCTTCAGCTTAAGGTAGCGAACCGCAAATCTTTCTGCTAATCTTTCCCCTTTCTGTTCGCATCCTTCCTTGGTACAACGACTTGCATCACTTGTCCATAGTTCACGTGTGACAAGTAGGAAACCTTTCTGCAATGTTTGGCGTTATATTTTCACCTTTGGCTTGTGTTATTCCAGGGCGCCCGTTGCTTAGTAACCGATGAAGCATGCCGCTTACTGACCGTATAATTCAATTTCCGTTACTAAATTGTATTTCTTAGGACGGATAATTTGTAGTAAAAATGCAAATTATCCCATGCAGGCGTATCCATGACCATCACGGTTAGCACTTCATCAAATAGGTCGGTGTTAGGAAATAATTTTTTAACATGACGTGCATTAAACCAGCATAGAAGGAAGCCACTTATGCCCGTGCATTTACCTCATCTTCAGCGCTATTCACACACCTGGCAGTAATAGTTCACGCACGCACTTACAATACACCTGCAAACTATCAATGCTGTAGCATACGTGAAGTTTGCCCTGTTTGCTTTGTCATACAGCACCGGTGATGACTTGGATTTGAAGTTGATGTAGCACAGAAAACGACGGATAGTGACGGAATATTAGACGCAATGGTCTCGTTTTCTTTCCCTAAAACACAAGGGCGTTTCGGCGAAGATCATAGCATAACAGAATATAACAGAGGGTGCAAAATGAAGGTAACAAACCTATTAACACGCTCCTCGTTCTTTTTATTACAGTTTTCGTTGTTTAAATGAAGTCAACAGAGAGGGTGCATGTTCTATAAGTGCCCAGTATTCATCGTTCAAGGTACCCTTTTCTATATGAAGACGATTTTTGAAGATCTTGAAACTAACTCGAAGTAACGTTGTGGATTCATTGGCAGTAACACTGCACGATGTGGGGGGGGGGGGGGGCTCAGAACGGATTTTTGCTTTCGCATAGTAGAGAACCAGGTACTCTAAATTGTTAAAAACTTTTTCCAAATACACCAACGTTGTGACTATAGTAACAACAACTTCCTCTAAATCTCCCTAATAGGCCAGCGGCATATGGGCTTATGAAGAGTACTTGGGTATTCAACAGTTCTGAAATATATAACGGACGGCACAAACAGCTTTCAGTGTCTCCACTGTGCAAATGTAGAAAAAAAAACCTGAATGTACTAAGTAGATACCGAAACTCAATCTCCTATTTAAAAATATTACGAATACGCCTTTCTTTTATGCAGCCCACTGTTACATTGTCGAAATTTGGGAAATACAATACATCGTACACAAACTACAATACTGTAGCGCCCTCGTTCGGGCGGCGCGCAAACCGGAGAGCGCGCGATGGCGACAGAAGAAAATAAAGAAGGCGCTAGGCCGTGGCACGTGAAGCCACGGCTCACGTTCCGGGCTGGCATCGGTTATCGTTCAGGCGTGTCTCTCTTTCGCTCTTGTGGCATAAGCCTACAAGTGGTGACCCGGACGAAGACAATGACTGACTCGAATGCACCCTCAACCGAACAAGCCTGACGTCCGCAGGACGTCTCGGCCGTGCAACTGCGTCTCCCATCTTTCTGGCCACAGGACCCACAAGTTTGGTTTCATCCGGTCGAGGCTCAATTCTCCCTGTACCGCATCGCCTCGGAAACGACACGCTACTACCACGTAGCCTCCGTCCTTCCTCCTGACGTTGCCAGCGAGCTCTCCGACGTCCTCTCCAACCCCTCGGACACTACGCCATATCAGCACCTTAAAACCAAGGTGCTAGAACGATTCATGCCTTCGGAACGCGTCCGCCTACAGCAGCTCCTTGCAGAGGGGGACCTTGGCGACAGGCGCCCCTCCCAACTACTGCGCCGAATGCGACAGCTTCTTGGGAAACACGACGTCTCTGCCCACTCAGCGTTGCTTCGCGAGCTCTTCCTCCAACGCCTTCCTCAGCCAATCCGCCTCGTCCTCGCGGCGGTCGGCGACGTCAATCTCGACCGCCTGGCGGAGCTCGCCGATCAGGTTCATGAAGCGACCTCCCCATCTGTCAACGCTGTCTTACCACCAGCAGACACAGCGATTTCGCGCCTTGAGGCCCGCATCGACGAACTCGCCGCCTCCATTGCCGCACTCCGGAGCCCCCTGCAGGAGACTCGTTCGCCTTGTTCCGATCGTCGAGCTCTTCCACGCACACGAGATGCTCGGAGTCCCAGCCCTCCACCCCTCTGCTGGTACCACCGGCGTTTCCGACACCGAGCCACGAAGTGTACACCCCCATGTTCGTGGCAGGGAAACGTCTGCCGGGATCACTGACGGCGGCGTGTGATCTCCCTTCTCGTCCCAGCCGCCTTTTCATGGTCACGGACCAGCTATCGGGCGCCAGATTCCTTATAGATACGGGCGCGGAAATTAGCGTTGTGCCCCCGACTAAGGCTGATCGTTCAAAGTCACAGGGGCAAGTGCTTCGCGCTGCCAACGCCTTGTCTATAGCAACGTATGGGCTCCGATCTCTCATCCTCGACTTCGGCCTTCGCTGCATTTTCCGGTGGATTTTCGTCATTGCAGACGTGGTTCAACCGATCATCGGCTCGGACTTCCTCTCATACTTCGATTTGGACGTCAGCGTGCGGCGGCGCCGCCTCATAGATGGTAAGACTTGTAGCGGCGAGAGAAGGAGAGACGTGAGACGGCGTCGAAGGCGGCCGGCGGGGCCGTGCTGATCTCGCCACTTTATTGCACGCCTGAAGAGGAGCCGCGGTGGCTGTCCACGTCCGCCACGCCAGGCGTGTCAGCTCGTTCTCAACCTCGCGCAGCTCGAGCTAGCATCAGCTGCGCGAGAGGCGCGGCGCAGTGATCAAGAAATGATGGCGATAATGATGGCACTACAGGGCTCCCCCCTAGCGCTTTGCGCGATTCGAAGGCATATGAAAAAAAGAAAGAGGGCGACAAATGCTATGTACATGAACGGCAGTCTATAAAGTGTTCCTTTGGCAAGTCCAGTTTGTCAACGTGTAGTGACCATCGGGAACCAGTGGGTCTCTGGTGGGCGACACTGAGAGTTGCGCAGTGGACGAAGAAGTAAGCTCTCGATGGAAAGAAATCCGTAATGACGGATGGCTCGGTCCCAGAGGTCTTCAATCGTGGAAAGCACCTCTGGAATTTCGAGGTCTCGCGCCACTTGTGATGCGTTTCTGTAGGCGAAAGAGAGGCCGTACTCAGTGACGCTGTGAAGCGACGCGTTACTGAGAACGTGCTTAACTGGTGCACTAAAGTGCGGGCTGTAAAGCGTGTCAAACGGGCCCGTGTCGTAGAGGCCGTCGTAGAAGGTGTAGTCACACACGCCGTCCGCAGGCAGCGGCTGCGACTCATTCGTCGCCGTGCCGAATACGCGGACCACGGGAAATGGCGTCATGGGAGGCTGTGCAGGAAAGACGGGTTCAGTTGTCGCCTCAGTCACTGTCGAGCTATTCGACGCTGGTGGACTGGTGGCAGTGCTTGTTCCCATGCTTTCAGTTGGCTCCACAGTGGTTGTAGTTAGGTCGGTTGACTTGACAGACGTCATCGACAGTTCAGTTGGCTGGTCAGACGTCGTAGGCAGCTCAGTTGGCTCAACAGATGTCGTAGGCAGTAGAGTTGGCTCCACAGATGTCGTAGGCACTTCAGTTGGCTCGACAGGGGTCGGAGACAGTTCAGTTGGCTCGACAGATGTCGTAGATAGTTCAGTTGGCTCGACAGATGGTGTAGGCAGTTCGTACGCGGGACACGCGTCGCTAGTGGCCAGACGAGAGGAAGTCGGGAGGTCAATAACGGGTGAAAGGTCACCTGTGCCAGGCTCCGAGGCGGGCGGCAAGGTGGCCGTCATGGAGTCTGGTGGGGCCACGGTTGGTAGCACACGTTGCGACGCAGTGACAACCCTAAAGTCGCGGGCCCCTGGAAGCGGTTGGTACGTGAGGCCATTGCGGGCGAGCACTGCAGTGCAGAGGGCATCATAAGGCTGCGGGCTGGTGCTTGAAGTGGCAGCGAGATGACGCAACTCTACCGGAAGGGCGTCGAGAAGAATGGCGTGCATCTGCAGCTGGTCCGTGACGCCATTCAGCGCCAGAACGGCATCGAGCTGCATAAACCATACCTTAGGGTAGGTCGATTGGAACGGCGGCACTGGCGGGCAGAGTTGCGGGAACATGGCAGCGGGCCCTTCGGCGAAGGGCGTGTTCTCCGGGTCACCAATGTAGCGGCGAGAGAAGGAGAGACGTGAGACGGCGTCGAAGGCGGCCGGCGGGGCCGTGCTGATCTCGCCACTTTATTGCACGCCTGAAGAGGAGCCGCGGTGGCTGTCCACGTCCGCCACGCCAGGCGTGTCAGCTCGTTCTCAACCTCGCGCAGCTCGAGCTAGCATCAGCTGCGCGAGAGGCGCGGCGCAGTGATCAAGAAATGATGGCGATAATGATGGCACTACAGACTCGTCTCTCCATTTCGGGAGTCCTGTCCGACATCGCTCCACTGGCCATCCGCATGCTGATACCTTCCTCACCGTCCGAAAAAATCTTGGCGAGTTTCCCGGAGTTAACTAAACCGTGCAACCTCACTCAGCCGCCTAAACATACGGTGACACACCACACCGTCACCCGGGGTACACCGGCAGCCGCTCGACCACGCCGCCTGTTCGGAGACCGCCTAGCTATTGCTAAACGGGAGTTTGACCACATGCTGCAGCTCGGCATTATCCGCCCGTCGTCAAGTGCTTGGGCTTCCCCGCTGCATTTGGTGCCAAAGCGTGATCCTGGTGACTGGCGTCCTTGTGGGGACTATCGAGCGTTGAACGCCAAGACTGTCCACGACAGCTATCCTCTACCTCACATCCAGGATTTTACATCGCGCCTCGACGGCTGCACAATTTTCAGCAAAGTGGACCTTGTTAAGGCGTACCACCAGATTCCTGTCGAGCCCGCCGACATACCTAAGACCGCCATCACGACGCCCTTTGGGTTGTTTGAATACGTGCGGATGCCTTTTGGACTCCGCAATTCGGCTCAAACTTTCCAGCAGTTCATTTCTGAGGTCACACGGGGTCTTCCAACTGTGTTCGCGTACTTTGACGATGTCCTCATCGCCAGCCGCACACCTGAAGATCATGAGCACCATCTACGCGCTCTGTTCCAACGTCTTCAGCAGTACGGCCTCGTTGTGAACGCCTCTAAGTGCACTTTCGGCGCATCTGAGCTCGAGTTCTTGGGCCATCACATATCATCCAAAGGAATACGCCCTCTCCGGTCCCACGTTAAAGCAATTCAGGATTATCCTCAGCCTACAACACTGCGCCAATTACGCCAATTCCTGGGGCTTGTGAATTTTTCCAGGCGCTTCATACCACACTGTGCCGAACTGCTACGACCGCTCACCGACCTCCTTCGGTCGACCGCCGGCCCGTCCTCCGCCATTCCTTGGTCGTCAGAGGCCCAGGCCGCCTTTGCTGCTGCTAAGCAAGCGGTCGCTAATGCCGTGCTTCTCATTCATCCACGCAGCAACGCCCCTACTCGGTTGATGGTGGACGCATCCAGCGTGGCCGTCGGAGCCGTCTTACAGCAGTGCATTAACTCTGAGTGGAGACCCTTGTCATTTTACTCTCGGAAGCTACTTCCTGCTGAGACCCGCTACAGCGTCTTTGGCTGGGAATTACTAGCCATCTACGCTGCAATACAGCACTTTCGGCATTTCCTGGAAGGATGCTCGTTTTACGTGCTGACTGACCATAAGCCACTGGCGTATGTTTTCCGCATTAACTCATTCAAGTACGTGCCCCGTGAACTCCGCCATCTGGCTTATATATCGGAGTTCACGACTGATATCCGCCACGTGAAAAGAGCTGACAACACCGCCGCAGATGCCCTTTCTCGTATAGCCACGGTTGACTCTCCACCGCCAACCATCGACTGGGCCTCATTCTCCTCGGCACAGCAGGATGATAGAGAGCTTGCCGCTTTTCGGGAGAACCCCCGTTCTCTCCGATTACGCCTGGTGCCTCATCCATTATCATCTGAGCGCTTGTGGTGCGATGTCTCAGCTGACCTTCCCCGCCCTTTCGTTCCCGCTTCATTACGACGCACCGTTTTCCACTCCTTACACGACATCTGTCACCCCGGCATTCAGGCTACTCAACGTCTTCTCACCCAGCGCTATGTCTGGCCCGGAATCAACGGTGATGTGCGCGCTTGGACGCGCATGTGCCTGCCCTGCCAGATGACAAAGGTCTCCCGTCATACTAAGACGCCACCCCAACCTTTCCTTCCCCCCGGCCGTCGTTTCGACCATGTTCATCTAGACATTGTGGGCCCTCTACCAGTGTCTCAGGGGTACCGTTATATATTGACCATGGTCGATCGCTTCACACGCTGGCCAGAGGCTGTTCCAATTCAAAATATCACAGCCGAGACAGTTGCCCGCGTTTTCATTTCTACGTGGGTATCCCGTTTTGGCTGTCCTGGCACCGTGACAACAGACCGTGGACGTCAGTTTGAGTCCTCGCTGTTTACTTGCCTTAATCGCATCCTCGGAGCCAGACATTGCCGTACTACGGCTTATCATCCCTGCGCCAACGGCATGGTGGAACGCCTTCACCGACAACTGAAGACCGCCTTGACTACCCGCCTCAATAGAGCCACCTGGGTTGATGCCTTGCCACTGGTGCTCTTAGGTTTACGAGCTGTCATCCGGGCAGACCTGCAGTGCTCAACAGCAGAGCTGGTGTATGGCACTTCTCTACGACTTCCGGGAGACTTCTTCACGTCAACGAAGCTACCAGACCAGCCACAGCAATTCCTACAACGCCTCCTCGACTGCGTTCAAGACCTCCGGCCCACTCCACCCAGACCTTCCGAACACAAGACCATATTCGCCCACCCTGATCTGGCCACTGCGACACATGTTTTCGTGCGCCACGACGCGGTCAGACCACCTTTGACACCAGCCTACGACGGACCATCCCGCGTCCTTCACCGCACCCCCAAAACTGCCACTCTACTTCAGAACAGCCGTGAAGAGACAGTCAGCTTGAACCGACTCAAGCCGGCATACCTGGAGACCGCCCTAGAAAGCCTCTCATCTACGACTGATCTTCCGTTGGAATACCACAAACGGCATGTCACATTCCGACTTCCAGTCTACACGGGGGGCCCTGTAGCGCCCTCGTTCGGGCGACACGCAAACCGGAGAGCGCGCGATGGCGACATAAGAAAATAAAGAAGGCGCTAGGCCGTGGCACGTGAAGCCACGGCTCACGTTCCGGGCTGGCATCGGTTATCGTTCAGGCGTGTCTCTCTTTCGCTCCTGTGGCATAAGCCTACAATACAAATACAAACTACAATACAAACTCGCAATTGTGGTATTTTATTATACCAAACTGAAAGATCGTATTTCGTAGAATATCTTCGTCGCGCAAGGATAATGGATACGTGAGCACGTGCGGTTTCCTTTATCGAGCTGCTACTTTTTTATGTTGAGGATTATTAATGCCAATCATGAGGTTATCATTTACATTTACGCCAACTCGTGGTATGCAATGTAACTGAATTATAAAATATGAAATACTGCTTTTACTTTGGCGTGAACTGATTGATATGTGAGGTTTAACGTCCCAAAACCACCATATGATTATGAGAGATGCCGTAGTGGAGGGCTCCGGAAATTTCGATTACCTAGGGTTCTTCAACGTGCGCCCAAATCTGAGCACATGGGCCTACGACCTTTCCGCCTTCATTGGAAATGCAGACGCCACAGCCGGGATTTAATCCCGTGACCTGCGGGTCAGAAGCGGAGTACCTTAGCCATTAGACCACCGCAGTGGGGCTTGGCGTGAACTAATACGCATGCGATTACATATATAAAAGTCTATTTCAGGAAATGATTTCACCCATTTTGTTGAGGTGACAATAAAAATTGCACCAGAAATGTTTATTATTTAGACGTACTAAATAAACACGTCACAGTAATTTCACAACGCAGATATCTTTTTTTCCCAGGTACCACTTACATATTTTGATATGGGACCAATATACCTAGTTTCGACCATAGCTTTCATCAGCGGGGTATCTTTTGGTCAGGAAGAGGGTAAGTAGGTCGAACTGACCCGCGCCTCGTAATATTGTTCTCTCTAGCATAGTAACTAGTCTCACTGCCGTATGAGAGAATTACGTCGGTGGGTGAACATACCCGATAGTTTGTGGAACATGTTGAAGTAGGGGAACACCCTTTAACACAATAACCGAAAGAGCACACTTCCAACCTCGGCGCTACGTCTGTTGAATGTTACGTCTTTTTCTAGTTTTTTGTTCAGTCCTTCTCCGTAGCGTTCTAAAACATTATTCATTCTGCTGCTAAATGATTCCTCTTATATGTAGATCATACACCATCACATTGCTACGTAGCTGACATATCAGCGGTCAGAAGACGACAAGGAGGAAGTTGTCTGTCGGTTGTGCGTGCTGTATTCCATCTTAGTTGACGCCATACGCATCATTTTGAATATTGCTTTTAAATAGACACGCCTCGTGTCATTTTTACGTAACATCTTTGTGGTGGAGGTGCCGGTACTTCCCCGTCTTCATTGCTAAGCTCCGCAACGGCCGCATCATCATAGGTCCAACCATGTCCCAGGTTGAACAACCATCGTCTTCACCACCTGCCCCTACCGTGACTTCTTCATACGTCGTTCTACCTCCCGCTCGTGATCCCGGTGTATTTTCCGGTCAGGATGGCGTTGACGTCGACAAATGGATCAACCGGTACGAACGGGTCAGCGCAAGCTATAAATGGGACCCGACTCTTATGCTTGCCAATGTGCTTTTCTACCTCGATGGCCCACCGCGAGTGTGGTTTGAGACGCACGAAGCGGAGATTACAAAGTGGGACTCCTTTAAAGAGAAGATCCGCGACCTTTTTGGCGACACCGTTGGGCGGCAGATCACAGCGCGTAATGAACTGGTGGCTCGTGCACAGACGTCGACGGAGTCGTACATCGCGTACATTCACGACGTCATAGCCCTATGCCGCCAGATTGACGAGCACATGAGAGAGTCTGAGAAAGTGGCCCATCTGCTGAAAGGCATAGCTGACGACGCATTTAATCTTCTAGTTTACAACAACGTTGCCACCGTCAACGCCATCATTAAAGAGTGCTGGCGGTTCGAAGAAGCCAAGAGCCGCCGTATGACTCAGCGATTCTTTCGGCTGCCGAACACGGCCGCAACCTCATCGTGTGAAGCCGCCCGCCAATCCCCCACGTATGGAAACGTCACACGCAATGTTCGTCGGGAAATCGAAGCCGCCTGTCCGGCTCCTCTTCAGCAACCCGTTTTCGCAACGCTCGCCTCTGACCAACAACAGCCGTCAGTGGCGTTAATACAAGCTGTGGTAAGGCAGGAGTTTGCGAACCTCGGCCTTCCATCTGCATGTCCCTTGACTCGCCCTGAAGTCCCGTCCTACTCCCGAGGACACGCTCGCCGTTCACCTCCAACAATGCCCTTCCGTAACCCTTCGGAATGGCGAACACCCGACGACCGGCCTATTTGTTTTTCCTGCCACCAGCCTGGGCACGTTTCTCGCTATTGCCGCCGCCGTTGGTCAATCCAACCACGTCACACTTTCTCTACCTCGGCGCTCAAGCATCCGACGACCGCTCGACGCTCAGTCGCCGCACCCTTCAATTTCTATCCGTCGTGATCTTACGAGCCTTTCACTGACGCCCCTTTGCCCAGTCGCCGCTACCCTGACGCCCCTTCGCCCGGTCGCCGCAGCTCTCGCTCCCCGTCACCGCTACGTCGCCAATCCCACTCTCCGCCACCTCGGCGCTTTTCCTCGCCGAGCTTCTCTGGACGACCACAGCAGGAAAACTAGATATTGCAGCTTATAGAGGTGAAGCTTCAATACTAATGACGGCCGAAAATACCCTACTGACGCTTCCCACGCACCATAGCCTACTTGAAGTACAAGTCGACCATGTTCCTGTGACCACCCTCATTGACACAGGTGCGCACCTGTCTATTATGAGCGCTTCTCTACGCTTCCGCTTACAAAAGATTATGACGCTATCTACGACGCAGGCAATACGTGTTGCTGATGGCGGTACTCTACCAGTAATCGGAATGTGCACTGCTCGTGTCAGCATTGCCGGTCGTCACGCCGTGGTCCTTTTTGCCATGCTAGCCTGCTGCCCTCATGACCTCGTACTTGGCCTTGATTTCCTTTCGGCGCACTCGGCCTTAATTGATTGTTCGTCTGGTGCCCTCAGCCTTGATCTACCAATTTTTGCCGACTACTCTGCAAAGCCCACCAGCCGCTTGAGCCCAACCACTTTCGTTCACCTGCCACCTCGAGCCGTCACGTATGTGTCTTTGTCATCGGCCCCTCCCGTTGCTAGACGGTGATTATATCGTTACGCCAATTACTGACGTTCGGCTGACGCGCAGTGTTACTGTGCTCTATACTATCGCGAACATAGCGAATAACTGTGTGTTACTTCCGCTCCTTAACTTTGGTTTCACCCCTCAAGTGTTGCCCTGCCAGATGTCTCTAGCCCAGCTAACTGCCATAACAGAGAACGGTGTCAGTGTTTTCACTGTATCTGCTCTTGATCGAAGCGCAGTCTCACAGTCACCCAGCTGAGGCGATGGTATTTTTCGAAACATGAATGAATCGGAGTTGTCGCCTCACCAGGCCGACGCTCTCTGCCAAGTTTTGGCCTCATACAGTGACATTTTCGACACCGACGATCGTCCCTTGGGGCAGACAAAAATTGTCACTCACCGAATCAACACTGGTGACTCTGCGCCCATTCACCGTCGGCCGTACCGCGTGTCAGCGTCCGAGCGAGAAGTGATTCAGAAGGAAGTGGCCAAAATGCTTACGAAAAACGTGATCGAACCATCAACGAGCCCTTGGGCATCTCCCGTGGTATTAGTAAAAAAGAAAGACGGCTCATGGCGTTTCTGCGTTGATTATTGCCACCTCAACAAAATAACCAAAAAAGACGTGTACCCTCTACCACGCATTGACGATGCCCTTGATTGCCTTCGTGGCGCCACCTTCTTTTCATCTCTCGACCTCCGATCTGGCTACTGGCAAAATGCTGTAGATGACATGGACCGAAAAAAAACTGCCGTCGTTACCCCTGACGGTCTTTACAAATTCAAGGTCATGCCATTGGGGCTCTGCAGCGCTCCAGCGACCTTCGAGAGAATGATGGACACGCTCCTACAAGGATTTAAATGGTCGACATGTTTGTGTTACCTGGACGACGTGATCATTTTCCCACCTACCTTTGCAACCCACCTTGAACGCCTTTCGACCATTCTATCCATATTTCGACGGGCCAGCCTGCAGCTCAATTCCTCCAAGTGCCACTTGGGTTTTCGTCAGATTACCGTATTGGGTCACCTTGTTGGCGCTGCCGGCGTACGGCCAGACCCGGCGAAAGTACGCGCTGTAACAAAGTTCCCAGTCCCACGCTCTGTCCATGATGTTCGCAGTTTTATGGGCCTCTGCTCCTACTTTCGCCGGTTCGTGAAAAACTTTGCAGCACTCGCATGGCCACTCACCGACCTTCTCAAACAAGACGTCCCATTTTCTTGGGGCCCTCCTCAAGCTGACGCCTTCTCTCAGCTAATCACCGCTCTAACGACACCTCCTGTTTTTGCACATTTTGACCCCGATGCTCCTACAGAAGTGCGAACAGATGCGAGTGGTCACGGAATTGGTGCAGTTTTGGCGCAAATTCAGCGGGGCAACGACCGTGTAATCGCGTACGCAAGCCTTCTGCTTTCTAAGTCTGAACGCAATTATTCTATAACAGAACGGGAATGTCTCGCTCTTGTTTGGGCGGTTTCGAAATTCCATCCCTACTTGTATGGCCGCCCTTTCCGTGTCATCACTGATCATCACGCGTTGTGTTGGCTTTCTTCTCTGAAGGACCCCACTGGACGGCTTGTTCGTTGGGCATTACACCTACAGGAGTATTCCTACTCGGTTGCTTATAAGTCTGGACGTCTTCATCTGGACGCCGATTGCTTATCCCGCTACCCTGTTGATCATCCCGACGAACTAGACATCGAGCCTAGCCTCAGCGTCATGTCAATGTCCCAGTTTCTTCAGATTGGTGATGAACAACATCATGATGCTTCTCTGCGACAACTTATTGACCGTCTCGAATCTGCTCCGAACGACACGTCACTTCGCATGCACGTTCTTCTGAATGGCACGCTGTACCGTCGTAGCCTCTAGCCAGATGGCCCTGAGCTCCTTCTTGTCGTGCCGAAAAATTTGCGTTCAACCGCGCTGCACGAGCTTCACGATGAACCAACTGCTGGTCATCTGGGTGTATCTCGGACGTACGACCGCATGCGTCGCCGCGTCTTTTGGCGCGGTCTCGCCCGGTCCGTTCGCTGTTATGTGTCCTCCTGCAATAAATGCCAACGTAGGAAGCAACCTACCGCGCCCCCGGCTGGACTTCTTCAACCAATCTCCATCCCAACCGAACCTTTCTTCCGTGTTGGTATAGATCTTCTCGGTCCTTTTCCCGAGTCGAAATCGGGCAACAAGTGGGTCGCCGTTGCTATACACTACGCGACTAGGTATGCCATCACTCGAGCGCTCCCCACCAGCACCGCTACTGACGTTGCGGACTTTTTGCTCCACGGCGTTATCCTACACCATGGCGTTCCTCGCCACTTACTCACGGATAGCGGCCGCGCATTTTTGTCCCGTGTAATCGACAATCTTCTGCGCTCTTCTCGACGCAGCACAAGCTGACCACTTCCTACCATCCCCAAACAAATGGCCTTACCGAACGGCTAAATCGGACCCTAACGGACATGCTCGCGATGTATGTGTCCTCCGACTACCATGACTGGGACCTGGTGCTACCTCACGTGACCTTCGCGCACAATTCTTCGTGCCACGACACTACTGGTTATTCACCCTCTTACTTGCTTTATGGCCTTGATCCGAAGTTACCACTCGACAGCCTACTTCTAACCACTACACGCCGTCAACCGAATATGCACGCGACGCTACTGCTCGTGCCGACCACGCACGTCCAATCGCCCGCTCTAGACTTTCGTCTTCGCAAGCCACCCAGAGAGCCATCTACGACAGCCGGCATGCTGACGTTCACTTCTCACCCGGTTCTTTTGTTCTCCTTGTTCTCCTGTGGTGCCCAGTTCGTCGAGTTGGCTTATCTGAGAAGTTGTTGTCTCGCTACATGGGTCCTTACCGTATCTTCCGCCAAGTAACCGACGTCACCTATGAGATCATTCCTGCATCTGAGACCACAAGCCTGCGTGCAACCACACCCAGTGATGTTGTGCCCGTCAGCAGGCTAAAACCTTACCACCTGCCTACTGAAGACCGTAGTTATTGTGCACCGAGACGGCGCTTTTACCGCCGGGGGGGGGGGGGGGGGTAATGCAATGTAGCTGACATATCAGCGGTCAGAAGACGACAACGAGGAAGTGGTCTGTCGGTTGTCCGTGCTGTCTTCCATCTTAGCCGACGTCATACGCATCAGTTTGAATATTGATTTTAAATAGACACGCCTCGTGTCATTTTTACGGAACAATATTGCAGATGTTACTTCACAGCGCAGCATTTGCAGTGCGCACTACAATCACAAGCATCGAAAGTGTTCTAACTCCTCGCACTAAGCGGTGCATGTATGATATCGACATAGCAGCGAACATTGTCATAGATGAATGAACATTTAAAGTGTGAACATTTTGCATTGTCTAATTGTCAATGTTGTCCTCGTCAAATAGACGCTGAGCCACAGTCCAAGGGCAATTCCACATTGGGTAAGTTGGTACAAAATTTGTCAGCACTAATGCACCTGCAGCGCCTTTCTATCACGGAGCTGCTTTGATCATGAAACATTGCGCATGCTTAAACCTCAAAAATTCTACCGCCTGAACACTCACCCTGACAATTCACAAGCGCTAGTTGATAACCAGCCTCTACAGCGTGCTCATTTATAATCACAAAATATTCACCGTAAAATTCACTATATATGTCTACAAAAGACATCGCAACTACAACAATGAATTAGCACAAGGCGTATTGTTAGCGTAAAAGGTTTATAGTCTTAAGTAAGTATGCACAGAAAAAAGCCACAAGAAATAACATGTTTAGCATTTTAAATGTAACTCATTCATAATAATAAATGCACCACACAACATTTGCATTTCGTATCTTCTATAAGTAAAGGTGTACACCATGCAAGATTATTTGTACGCAGATAATAGGCCTCCGGAGCATAATAAAAAGCCTATATAGGGTCAAAACATGAACTCTATCTTAATTTAGTAAAATATCGCTATACTCATTCGATATTTCTTTTTGTCTTCCCCTTACTAGTCTTTGCTACGTAAAAATGTGCGTGTTTCGACTCTGGTTGCCTTAACGGTGACATGGTCTTCCGTCAAACAGTCTGTATGTGAAAATTAAAAAATTCCTAAAACGTTTTGTTGTTTTCCAGCGAAATTTCAATAAAGTAGGTTCGTCATATCACAAGCGACCCTTAAATTGTAACGCATTTCACTTACACATGACGTTAACCTAAGGGACATAAGTGAGGTTGAAGGAGCTGAGTTTGGGCACTGATGACAGACGAGGGTACATAAAACAGGAGACGCCACTGGAAAGCTTTTGGGATTGCTATATAGCAAAATCCCACCTTTCTACCACAATTAACGCTGAGAGACACATAACTTCTCAAAAGTGGAGCTTTTTTTGTGGCACATATGTGACAAAACTGCAGCCCGAAGAACAATTACATTAGCAGGGCATGATCTGAAGACGTAAGAGCACTCCTCAGAGTACGCCTATTCTTCAAAGGATCTTGGAAGCTTTTGAACGACATGTAAAATCCCGCAGGCAGCAACAAAGTATCAGCCAACAAATGTCAACAGTTTTTGCGCCTCCGCACACGGCAGCGCATGCGATTATCAGCTAGGCTTTCAAAAACGGGCTGATCAATCCATTACTTCGGTATCCCAAAGTTGCCGGCAGCCGCCCCGGTCAGTGCATCGCGGAGTTGGACTGCACTTGATTTTGGCACAAATGTTGCAATTCGCTGCTGTTAAAAACCAACGGAGAGTGAAGCTAGATCGCAATGGTTAATCACAGAAGACGGTACTGAGTGCGGACAAGGACAGCAAGAATAATGTGTTCACATTTGTTTCCTTATGTTTATGTATGCATGCCTGACCCTTTATGATGTTCTATGCCACAGAACGGTAACGTTTGGTGACTCTATTTCCAGTGCAGCTTACACATTTTACGAATATTTCTTGATTTTAGAAAACGTGTTTCGGTAACGCTTTTTTTAGATCGAAATTCGTTCGGAAGCTGATCGGGTGAATTACGCCCTTAAGACACCTCTTATTTTCTCTCTCTTTCTTTCTTCTTTTATTCTGAAAGTTTGCAACAAGCGACATGAGATGCTACATGTGTGTGGCGACAAAGGAGAGCCGTACGAAAGACTTTGCCCAAACTTGAGGCGCCGATGGTGCGACGACGCAGGGCAGCAAATATGCCTCTGCAAACCGAGGTACTTTCGTCGCTTATTCGACGATGAGTGTGTCCACTTGAGAAATTGCGGTGAGTGTATCCTTGTACTACTTTTAATTGAATATATTTAAATGTATCACTAAGCAGCATTATTGTTTTCCTAATTCAAAAAATAAAGCTACCATTATTGAAATAGAGACACAGAGCTTTATAAAGACTGGAAGTACTAGCAGGGAGGGACCCATGAAGAGGGTGCTTTCTTGACTTTTTTTTCATCATACTATTCATCTTAGCTAAGAGATTTTAATTTGGTTTGAAATGTTTCCGATGTTAACTGACAGCAATAACGGTCCATTATTAGGGAGGACACACAAACAACTGGTTCGCACAAACATTTTTTTTTTCAGGTAACATATGCAAAAAAGTAGCCCATCATTTTTCCTACTCAGTGAAACGTTCGATTGGGCAGAGGACACGACAATTTGGCGTAAAGCTATTTTGAGTGCTTTTTCAGTGAAATTTTTCTCCATGCTGTGTACCAAAGCAATTCATAATATGCGTAACATGGCTATTAAGCTTCGTACACTCCTGGTGTCAATCACAACATATGCAATGACCATTTGATGGAGTCACAGATTAAATAAATATATAAATAAACAAATGAATAAATGAAAATGAAGAGGTGCGCGTTACATAAGGAGACGTTACCTACTGACATCTGCACACCAGAACAGTGCGGTCTTTTCTATTCGTGAATGTTGTGAGCTGCGTGGTAACATCAGTACCACGTTGTGGAGTTGAGTTTTAGGGCAGCATCCAAAACGCACATCTCGTCCAAAGCTGAGCTGATCTAGACGCACTGCGAACTTATCGAAAAAGTTAAGTGTACATCGAGTAACTATAACAGAATACGTCCACTTCAAAATCTCTAGAAAGGCTGGCTTGTGCTTATTACTTTAACGGACGTCTAGTATACAAGATATGCTTACGTCAAGACGCTAAGTGTTAGGCAATAGCAGAGGTGTGTGCGTAAATTTGACTAATAAGTTGGGCGTCATAGCGACAAATGGTTATCATTTCGATCGGGCCGAATGAAACCGATGTGAACCAATACAGTGATGCATGTGAATGATCAGTGGTCGAGATACATGCAGTGCTATAATAAGTAACACAAATAGGCGGGTGCCTGTTTCTGTTTAACAACAATCCGCAATAACACACTGGCATTGGAGATTGGAGAACAACATATTTTCTTGCCAATTATTCATAATCACTATAGTTAGACCTCAAACTATTGCTTTCTGATGCATTTCATGACTGGAAAATCCAACGTATATAGCCAAACAATTATATTTCAGGTAAAACACTCTCAGTGAGCTCCATGCCCTTGTTTTTGCCTAACTCGGTTTTTATTCCAGTGAAGTCTGTTCCAACCGCTTACCAATTTAATATCATAGACACCAATTACCAGTCTTACTAGTGTTAATATCATAGACGCCAATAGTTTCAACCTGTAATCAATTGAAAAGGAAGTGAAAACAGGAATAAAAACTCTCAAATTATTCCTTGAGACTTTTTAAAAATGAAAAATGTAGCTATAGCAATGTATAAATATCTTTATGTTTTAGTTTGATTCCAAGAGAGCATATAATTATATATATAATATATTTTATTTCTAAGTTGAAGCATGGATGGATGAGTGCGAAACTTCATTTGAAGTCCTGAAGTACACGACTCAGTGTGCGCATTCTGCTTAGCAATATATTTGTTACAGTATAAACACGGCATATTGTGTGTTTACAGCTAAAATATTTTACTACGTTTCTTTCTCTCCCACGTCATTACCCATCGACCGACTCCAAACAGCCAAGAGAGAAGTTGTGCGCCTTACGGTAAGTGCTACAATGAGGTTGATGAGTTTTCAACGATTACACATCAAATTATTAGACAATTGGTATCAAACAAGTGTAATTTGATATAATTGTTGTCGTCGTAAATTATCAACTCTATACCTATGGAAGTTGGAGTGCTTAACGAATATTAGGAGCAGCAGTGCTTGCTTGTGCTGTATGTTGCCCTGATGAAAACCCTGTTTTTTACTAAGTACTTCGTAACGCGAGTTATGCTTTGACAATAACATTATGTATTTTGTTGTGCCCTGATTGTAGCAAGTAACATAAAATAAAAAAACGTAGCAATAAAGCATTTAGAACTGATTACTTGCTTATAATCAATAGAAGCTGTGCCCAGGAGCTGCAGAATGCCTGTCATTTCTTTTTGCAAGAGAGCCTTGCTAGGTGGTTTGCGTTGTAGCCATAACTACTCGCAGACTATTCAACTACTATGAACAGTAATATTTTAATGTTACTTGTACCTACGACAGTTATGTCCTTCGGCTTCGACTAAACTCCATCGAAAAAAGCTTGCTACGTGTAGGAAAATAGCTTACCTGAAATGCGGGGAACGTGCTTAAGGTCGTAGAAATGAGCAATTGTCATTGTAGTGAAAGTAGGGAAGGGCAGCTGGAGTTGTCTGTTGTCCCGCAGCAACATATCTTTTGCTGTATGCATCCGCAAGCATCTCCAAAATTTGATCAGTTTGATGCAGTTCTTTGTCTCCCTAATTTGAGGACATTCGCACATGTGGGAGTAAATCAGTGGTTTGGTAATAATCTGAGATATGTATGTTGTGCTTTTTGCATGTTTTGATTATTTAAATACAATTTACATGTAGAATAAAATCTCCCATTGCATACGGCATTATTGGACGTTCAATATATGTGGGATAGCAATGGCTGTGGACGGTGTTTAACTGTATAAGCGACAATTATTGAACAACAATGCTAAGCTTGTATTAGAACACAGTTATTACATCTTTTCGATGTATCATCGTCCACAACACCTCGTTGGTGATGCACTTTTGTTCATCAAGCGAATGTATCTCACACGTAACATGATAAGTCTAGCCACACCTCAAGACCAAGGACTTTTCCTCTTTGTAAGCTTCCATTTTTCAATGAGCTTCTGCTTTATTGAAGGCTAACACGGCATTCCCATAAAACTGCAGTTGGCCTGCTTTGGCGACGAGATCTTCATGATTGGAGCATCGACGACCCAGTTTGATCCACATCACGCAAAGTGTGTCAGGCTGATACATCGCGGTGTAACGGAGAAAGGATGTGTCCGTGTCGTGATGGTCAAGGAGAGAGCCAACGACTTCGAGTTGTCGCAGGTACACGCAAAACAAAAACATTATCATTCAAGCTTTTTCTCCCCAATCATGGAACCTCCTCGTGTTACCATCAGTCCTATTACTTTTTCAAGTAACTTATGCTGACACAAAAAGTTACGCACATAGGATGCATATTTATTTATCGACGGAGATCTGGTTTTTTGTGAAGGGTCTACCTTTGTTTTGCAATACAAAATGTCATGAAAACAACTTTTAGCACGAAAGCTTTCTTTTTTGCCGTGGTCCGCGAAGCCTCTACTGACGTATTTCTGTCACGGAAATACGTCAGAATATTGAAGACGGCTGGATGGTAAATAAACGGCCACGAAAAGCAGTATTCCGTTGCCGACAGTAGAACCAATGACCTCTTGGTCCACGACGATGGCTGGCGAGCGTTTAAACCACTGCGCCACCGTCAAAACTACAGTAGTAGATATAAGTTCCTTCCTTATATCTCTTGAAATATAGTTGTTCGAGGGCTGGTTTAGCAGTCTAGAAGTAAAACAGTGAAGTATTGTGTGTTTTCCGCAATAAGCCAGGGGGTGGGAGCTCCCTATACTTCCCATGTATTGCTGATACGCAGCGCAGAACCGCTTTTACTACTGGAGGTCGCTGGGCATCCTACTAGGAATAAATCATGAACAAAAAATTCATTTGATGACGTCACTGGTGAGGTCAGCAAGTAAAGAGAAAGGGCGAAAAGTTAACAGGAGGAGAGCTGCCGCGGATTGCGCTCCTTTCTCATTTCGCATGCAATCGGAATGCTCTCGTGCCTTCTTTCAGGTCCCTGGTCTCTTGGGCAATGCGGCCATTCGTAAAATTTTGTTTATCATTATTTTGATCGTGTGTTCTGAAGAGGCAATAGTTAAGCTGATCGATTTCTCAGTAAGACGAAGCTCGACCGCCACAAATAAAATGAACTTTTTTATTGCACGTTTTTGTACGCCTAGTATAAAAGTGTCAATCTATAAAAGCAGCTGCAACTTACAACTGGCATGCGGACATGACGAGTAAACATGGAACTCAAAATGTCCAAACCGATGCAAACGTTATCAACAATCGCAAGTAGGTGACGTCGTATTTCACTCAATCACACTTGTTACGACGGCGTGCATAGTTTTGTACCATAGCTTGAGTAGCAAACGAGAATGAAGTTCAGAGGCACAGAGAGGCTTGAAGCGATCAGAGGCTTATCTAGAAAGAACTTCGCTGGAAACAGTGTTTCGGAGAGGTGACTTGTCCTAGTTAGGGCAACAGCGTTGCCTTGACGAATAGAAGTTTACTTGTCAAAACGTTGGCTCCATCGACATGCTCTGTAACAAGTTTTCAAAGCATTTAGTCTATAACGTTTACGTGCACTTCAGTGGCAGTATTAAAACTGAAGTCGCACAAATTTTGAAACCGCGGCTACAAAATTTTCATGAGCAGGAAGGAGCCTACATTTACTTGACATCATTGGAACTACAAGCCAAAAGTAAAAGAAGCTGAGACTATATGTATCTGAGCCGACTCGAATTCAAGTCTTTAGAAAAACGTATTTTCCCTACAGGAGCTTGGCTGCCATCCTCACCAATTAGCCAAGCGACGCCGCACTTCTGTCGGTCCACTCAGGCTTGCAGAGAACTAGGTTTACTCAAGTATTCATGAAAAATCAATACCTGCTCAAGTAATGGGTCCAAATGTCTGTGCTTACCAATCGCCTTTCGGAAACGCCGAAAAACTTTCGCGGAACGAGAAATCCCGAGTTAGCGCAACGCAGAGGCGCGGGAAACATGTATTACCCGATTAACGCATCCTGGACGAATGCATGGCTGACTTGTTTGGCGTGGCTCACTGCGGCTCCTTTTCTCTGCCCGCCACAACTTGCTCTATTTATCTTTTCCGTAGTTGGCACGCCAAGTGAGTGAGATAACTGAGCACGATATAACTTCCAGTATTGTTGAGCGAGGGCCGAGAAGGAGCGGAGGCAAGCGTTACGAACTCAATTCAATCACTTCCAGCGCTTCCCCCGATTTGAAATTCAAAAAATAATGAATAGGAAAATACACATAAACTAAAGAGAAGTTCTTTACTGGGGTATCAAATTTTTTTATTCGTAAAAAACTTGTGAAAGCAAATAAATGTGATCATTCACGTCAACCTCACGCCGCTAAACCGAATATTGGAATGCCCAGTAACCTTTAGTTACGAGCGTGCATGTTTATTGAAACCAAAACTAGTGCTGAGTTTTCGGGTCCTGAGTTAGCTCTGACAGTGCACCTTCGCTACGACTCTCCATTCGGCTTCAACGTTTTAACACAACACGGGGTGGCGTTAGAGCTTTTATCATCGCGTTCATCCATAATAAGAGTTGCTCTCCGATGGTCGCCTTGCTATGGTGAATAGCCTGGTGGTCATAAGGCATTCCCGGCTTGCCATCTGAGAAATTACAGCTGGGCTGGAGGGAGAGATGAGCAGTGTATAGCGTAGGGTACACCGAGTATATGCAATTGCTTATTGTGTACTTTTTTCCTCTAGCTCATCATATGTGAGGCCCAGGTATTCGTTAATAATAACTTCAGCTGCCACAAAGGTTTATTAGTGGTCATGGGCGTAAGCTGTCGAGACAGATATGTGCCTTTAGTTGTCAACGAGGGGGCGTCTATGAAGCAGTGGACTGTCGAACAGCATAGACACTGTATTAGCTCTCACATATGAAATCACTACCTCTGTGAAGAGACATTTCACCTTCGTGTTAGACCGATTCCTATGGCGTACTCATTACACAGCTGCCTTCGTTCACACATCACTTGTCCCATTGAAATGGACAATGGAGAAGGGGATAGTGGTATTGGATTGAGTGCATTCGCTCAGGCTATGTATGTCGACAAGAGGAAGTTAGCCAAAAAAATTCCCATGTGAACCAAACGTTCACTTTACACTAGCAGCTAGCATCATTAATTAACCTTCATTGGTAATATAATGTTGCCTATAGCATTATAGCACGAAGCCAGCAGTTGGCCTAGCCTAAAATGCTTCTAGAATATTTTTTTCACGTAGTGCGGAAATATCTATATCAATACTATATTTTGTCACACTTACAATCAAGAGTACTCACAGGGCGCATCGGCATTGTTATTATATGAGTAACCCATGCTCACAAATGTAGTTACCAAACATTCATAACTTTTTTAAAATGTATTTTCAGAACAAGCATAACAACGGCTGGAAGCACACGTATGTACACTTATATGCCTATATGTGATATTCATCCCAGCTAATTTACTAGTCTCATACACATTGAATGAGACCTATAATTGGGCTTCTGAGTCTTCTTGAAGTTAGATGTATACCACTGCAGTCATCCCCTTTTAAAAATTATTCAGTGAACTTTATATATTTAGATCACCATGATGGTGAAGCAGGGAAACAAGACCAGCATTGAAAAATTTTTAGACAATCTCGTTTCTTTTTGTGAAATCTGAAAGTGTCCTGCTTATACTTGTACATTGTATACAACGCCTGGTTGCACTTTACAAAATAATATTTGCTGCATTAAAGGCAGGAAAGAAGAAGGAAGCCTGTAAATTTTAGGCCATCAGAAAGAAAAAGAAAGGGATTGTGGTGATAAGTTACCAACGTGAACTGAACCACGGGCCGACGACGTTGACGGCGAGTATCCAACAACGGTGTCGCGACACCTTAGCACAAACGAGTTCTCTGAGCGCACGTGCGAGAATCCTTGAAAAACTTCTGACGCTTTACATGCCAAAGCTGCGGCATTATTTATACGCGCACGGTACTGGAAGGCTCCGATAAGTTCGACTATAATTGCGGTTACTTTACTTTCTTTCACACGTGAACGATTTTGCCTCAAGAGCGGAGCGGTGGCCGTCGCACGAGCCCGAAACAGGTTTCCAGAGAGTCTTCTAGACGCGGTGACCAACACCGCCAGAGTTGGGGAAAATTCGCTTGCGGCAGAGCGTCTACTAATGGGGGAGCAGTGACGAGGAGAGCACGTGACAACAAAGAAGGTGTCGAGGAGCGCGCGAGCGCCGAGAGAAACTCGATAGGTATAGTGCGAGAACAGAACGGCGACAAAGAGACAAGACGTACACGAAGGACACGAGCGCTCGTGTCCATCTTGTCTCTTTGTCGTCATTCTGTTATTGCGCTATAACTATCGTCTTGTCATACCAACTAGCCCAAGCTGCCACACTTCTGAGAGGAACTCGCCCTGACTTGGCAGCACGGGCAACACTGCCAATCAGAGTGGTGGGCGTCGCACAAAAGTGGCTCATGTGAAACAAGCTCGCTTCCGCGTGGCCTGCTGTCACTCGTCGCCACGACCATCGCCGCGCAGTCGCTCCTATGTAAAACAGGCTTCACCTTCTTTAGCGCGCAACTAAAGGCACTGGCCTCCAACGTATTCCTGCATCGTTCCGGTCAGCAACCGTAACCACCGTACCATTCCTAAAGCCATCCGCTATATTCTGCACAGTGAGCGCGGTTACGAATGACGTGGCGGTGTGTCCGGGGATAACGTTCAGTGCGAATGATAGAAACGTGCGCTCTAGAATATACTATAGTAAAGCTTCCTTACTCTATTGCAGGAATTATTCAATTGATATTCATGCTGAAGTAGAAGGTGGTGTTCCATACCTCGTCATAGGACAGGAAGGTGAGCCACAGACAAAATGATCTTTTCCTCTCTCTCTCTCTCTGTCTCTCTCTGTATACAAACAAGCACGCCCACATACGCGCATATACACGTAAAGCACTGAACGGTGCCCTTAGGTCGGCAAGCGGACTTGACAAGCGGTACTTTTCTGGCATTTTGCGGGCGTGTGTGGCGAACAGAAAAACACTAATGCATACCACATGTAAAGTTGAAAGCTGTCTAATGAGACGTTTTTCAACCGGTGTGCAGTTTTTTTTATAAAATCCTTGTCCGGCTTCGCTCTTGCAAAAGTTAGTTCATCTAAAAACGTGGGATTAGGTTACAAGAAAAAAATCTTCTCAATTATTCGACGATGACGAAATTGTCTGCCACAAAGTTTTGGTTGCCGCGTGGCAGACTACGTCGGCGTATTTTTAAGCTCTCTTTAAGGTCTGGCTGAAGGTGTCTTAGCCATGATTTGTGTGAGTTTGCGTGTATAAAACATGACGGCCAGTGTACAGGACATGACGAAAAAAGCGAATAACAAAAGCAAGCAGACCGATAATCAGAACCGAAATTACTTTGGCAGCTTCTGTAACAGTGTTGAAACTTGTTTTAAAATGTAGTTTTTTGATCACTCTCATTTTCTTACGGGGGCGCCTTATAGTAATCATGTTATCCCCACTGAAACGTGCGAGCGAAATGGGGTCAAGGGTACGAAATCATTTTAAGATCAATCTTTGCGCAATTCAGATTATTCAAATCACGCGAGATGCCTGACGTCTTCTTAAAATATTGTTGCAAAAAGGTAGATTTTGAAATCACAACACTGCTGACGATGCGTGAATGTATACACGACCAATTCACTGGACACCAGGATTGAATGGGCGCACATCGTGCTAAACATGGAGGGAGGAAAAAAAAACATGAGGCTGCGTTACATGAAAAACGTACAGTCTGGCCATCAAAGAAGAAACCGGGGCATGCTGGGAATCTAACAAGAACATGAAGCGCGATGAGGGAGCAGCGTCTAATGAGGTAGACTCGCGGACGCTAGGTGTGCTCCCTCTCAGGGATTTTTTTTCTTTTTCCATTGATGGTGCAGCTTGCTATGTGCAACAGCTATGAGAAACCTTTTTATTAAGTCAAAACGAAACATATTTGTGTTTAAAAACAGTTGACCTTCCGATAGGGCCAGAAAGAACACTTCTTCAGGGAAGATAGCTAAATGAGTGTCCCCTTATGTGCAACAAATGTATTCCAGTGTCCCCTATACTGGACATGGTTTTCTCGCAAAAACCGTAACACATGCAGTCTCCTTTATTTTTTGCATGCTTTTCAATGAGGCTCTTAGCAAGAAAAAAACATTAAAAATTTATAAAATTTTGTCCTACCTGAGAAAACATTTTATTCATGTATATATAAATATATATATATATATATATATATATATATATATAAATATATATATATATATATATATATATATATATATATATATATATATATATATATATATGATGATGGCCATTGAAGGGAAACGGACGAAGATTAAAGATAAATAGCCGACCGACCCATTAACGGGAAACCCTTCCTTTACGCACGCCGCACGCTGACCGACCCATTACGGGGAGCCCTTTCTTTACGCACGCCGTCACGGACCCTCCCGGCACCGCGGCGACAATCTTGGGTGGCCCGACACACGTCGAGAACTGAGCAGCACGTGATATGAACCGTATGTGGACGTACATGGACAGTTGGTTTCGTTCTCAGTGTTGACAGTGCTTCTTCCTCTTTTTTACTTTCTTTCTTTTCTTTTTTTTTCGTCTTTTTTCTCCCCCTTTTTTGTTTTTTCCCTTTTTTTAGTTCCCTCTCACTCTTGCAAACATCTTTCAAGGCGAGAGGGACGCGGCAGCAACGAAGTTTGGAAGTTCATGTCAGCATAACTCATCCCCTGATGAAGGAAGGACTCCTCCCGAAACGGTTGGGAAATAAATTTATTTATCCTTGTCGACAACGCTCCCGTTGTGCCATATCCCATATATATATATATACATATATATATATATATATATATATATATATATATATATATATATATATATATATATATATATATAAGGGAGAGAAGTGTATACCTAAGGGCTCGTATTTCCGTGTTTTAACACAATAATAATGAGATATAACAGACAGTAATGCCAAGGAATGTACAGGGGAAGTTATTAGAACCAATGGAATGTAAATAAGAAGAAAGAAGAAAGAAAAGTGGATGAAAAAATTACCAGCTGTGAGCAGGAATCGAACCTACGACCTTCGAATAACGCGTTCGATGCTCTAACCACTGAGCTATCACAGCGGCCGTCCCTCCATCCACTTTTTGGGGTTTATATGTGAATTTAGAAGTAGGAGTGACAGTCAGCGCCATCTATAAGCCAAACAACGAGTGTGAAAACACTCTTATTCGCATGTTTGGCGTCACGTAGCACGTGAACTTATTATGAGCGGGCAGCTGATTAATTGTCCCTCTTATACAACCTAAACACACCAAGTCTGCCAGTACAAGACCCTCGTTCAATGAAAATAAGGGAGAGAAGTGTATACCTAAGGGCTCGTATTTCCGTGTTTTAACACAATAATAATGAGATATAACAGGCAGTAATGCCAAGGAATGTGCAGGGGAAGTTCTTAGAACCAATGGAATGTAAATAAGAAGAAAGAAGAAAGAAAAGTGGATGGAGGGACGGCCGCTGTGATAGCTCAGTGGTTAGAGCATCGAACGCGTTATTCGAAGGTCGTAGGTTTGATTCCTGCTCACAGCTGGTAATTTTTTCATCCACTGTTCTTTCTTCTTTCTTCTTATTTACATTCCATTGGTTCTAATAACTTCCCCTGTACATTCCTTGGCATTACTGTCTGTTATATCTCATTATTATTGTGTTAAAACACGGAAATACGAGCCCTTAGGTATACACTTCTCTCCCTTATTTTCATTGAACGAGGGTCTCGTACTGGCAGACTTGGTGTGTTTAGGTTGTATAAGAGGGACAATTAATCAGCTGCCCGCTCATAATAAGTTCACGTGCTACGTGACGCCAAACATGCGAATAAGAGTGTTTTCACACTCGTTGTTTGGCTTATAGATGGCGCTGACTGTCACTCCTACTTATAAATTCACATATAAACCCCAAAAAGTGGATGGAGGGACGGCCGCTGTGATAGCTCAGTGGTTAGAGCATCGAACGCGTTATTCGAAGGTCGTAGGTTCGATTCCTGCTCACAGCTGGTAATTTTTTCATCCACTTTTCTTTCTTCTTTCTTCTTATATACATTCCATTGGTTCTAATAACTTCCCCTGTACATTCCTTGGCATTACTGTCTGTTATATCTCATTATATATATATATATATATATATATATATATATATATATATAGAGAGAGAGAGAGAGAGAGAGAGAGAGAGTAATAACTTATTGGCCAGCTTTCATACACCAGAAGCGTTGTCAATAATGATACATTTGTTTATTTCCCAACAGTTTAGAAACGGGCCCTCCCTTCGTCAGGGGACGCGCTAAACTAACGTCGACGTGCAAACTAGTTGACTGCCGCGTCCTTTTCGCCCAGAAATATATGTGCGTGTTAGAGGAAACTACGAATACCAAAGGAGGGAGGGAAACAAAAAAGCTAAAAATAAGACATGACAAACAAAGTTACAAAAACGAAATAACGATGAAGAGTGAAAACACGAAACAGAACTCTCTAGAGCCGAAATTCGTTGAAAGTTCACATATGGTTTTGATGATCTTGTGCTGGCAAGTATCGATGTGTCTCGGGCCCTCCAAAATTGTTACTACCCAAATATACCCAAATTTTCCTACGAAGTGTGTCCTCATCGGGATGACTAACATGCGGTATGTCCATACGGACATCAGCCCGACCAATTTTACAACGCCGTGTTTCATTTCGTGATGTTGTCGTTGATGATACTTCCTTAATGTTTGTCAACACGACCTCATCAAGTGCGAGGCCAAAGGGACGACTTAGTGTTCTCCCATAGTGAAGTACCAAGTACTCCCAATCGTCCACCACTTTTTCTAAACGCTATGTTTTTCGATGTATCTGCACTGCTGGAGTACCTGACAGCGCAGGGGACACGTTGGTGCTCCATGTGGGCACCACAAGCATAATGAAGATTGGGTCTTCAAAGTAAATGGACTCGTTGCAGGAGCCTTGCAATGTGCGAGGCAGATTCGCTCGAAGATCACGACATTGCATATCAGTATACGACTGCCTCGTGCACCCATTCGCCACGTCGTGACTCGAGCTGGCGCTCCATGTCTCGGTTCATTATGAGAGTTCAGCGTTTCAACAGAGAGGCCCGCCGTCTTTGCGGACACGGTATGTTGGGAGCAGACGTATAATGCGTGGAACCCGGTTTGTAAACCCTCCTGCTCCGACGCTTCCCGGCTGCTCATGGCTTACATGCGAGTTTTCAAGGTGTCGCGCTACTAGCACATCGCACCAGAGTACAGCTGCGATGGACTTCGGTGGCATGGGGATTGGCCCCAAGCGTTTGTACGGCCAAGTGCGGTGTGAAGCCCACGCAACAACGAGTAGCCGAAGGACACACACAGCCATCCAGGGCCCTAGAAGTCACGGTATTGCCACTTTCACCAGCGCGGTGATACAGCAGGCGCACGAATGAGGCGGCGACTAAGGCGACCGTTTCCAATCGACACGCGGACGCAAAAGGTATACGGCCACTCTCAACCAAGCGTGCTCCGCACCATTTATATTGATTCGAAAGGTAGTTAAAAAAAATGGCCTCAATGCGAAAAGCACGCAGAAAAATTAAGCAGTTTTTTCTCTTTCTTTCGTTTTTTTCGGTCTTCCTAGTTTTCTCTCACTGTCGTAAATATATTTCAAGGCGAGAGGGACGCGGCAGTAAACAAGTTTGAACGTTGTCATTAGCTTAACTCCTACCCTGCCAAAGGGTGGACCCTTCCCGAAAATATTGCGAATAAATATTTGCATCATAGAGGCCCCAGCGCACTCAATCACGACTTAACTGAATGCATGTTGGTTATTGTTGTTGGTATTACGTTTATGCCACTGTATAATGTCCAATTGTGAATACTTACCTAGAAAGTTAACCTAGATTTTTATTTTAAAACTTCTCAGCCAATGAAGCTAAACAACAATTTTAAACTAGAAAGTCGTACATCAAACTGTGTCCCAAACAAGTGCCTAACCAGCGATTTGAGCTTCCTTAAACATCTCACTGGTTGTTTTATTGTTTCTTTTGCCCTTGACGAGGCAGTTTCTAGAGTGCGAAAGCACAACCACAGCTTTTTAGATGTTGACAAAGCTTAACGGTTGCTACACTTCAAGAACGGTGAATGTTGTTAACGCAGTCTGTTAGTTTGCTTATTTGTTCGGAGTATTTCATGTGGCATGACAATAGGAAAGAATGAATTACTTCTTTTTCACAAGAGACGAATTTTTTTTAAGTTCATTGTGCAGGAACAGACTAAATCATAGGTGGACTCACAAAGTTTGCAAAGTTCATCAGTCGTGGAAAAATCAACCATATATTCGCATTACTGGCTACCTTCATGAGGCGATGTGATATGTCATGTGTGTAAGGAATGACTGCGAAGCTTTGCTGGCTTGTACTATAAGTGGTGATTCCTAAATCTCTGTCGGTTTTCCATTTTACATGGCAACCTAGGGTGACACGAAAATACAGCACAAAAGAAAAAGGAGCACACACAACAAGGTGCCTTTTACTTGTGTGCTGTATTTTTCGTGTTACCTTAAATTATCATGCATCGACACCAACTAATCCACCTATTTATTTTGCTGTTTTGTTTGACGCGCCTCACAAGCTCTTAACGCAACTTACAAGGGTAGCCTGCAGCAATTAAAATAATTGTTTCGGCAAGTAGAGTGGCTTCACTCTAGGTGCAAAGAAGACTTGCCTAAAGGGTTTTTAGGATGGGTTTCGTAGTTCTTTTTTCTATGAGCTTTGAATGTCATGATAAGAATGCAAGTTAAGGCCTATAGATACCGCAATATTCGTATTCCCAGCCAATATGCTTGAACGTAAAGGTAAGGGTTACGTCTCTAAACGTCAAGTAATGCTTTTCTAGTATTTAAAGTGTGATTTTGGAAGGGTGTAAGCATTGGGTGAAAGCGAACCTGAAAGAAGGAAACATATCAATTTTGCAGGTAGGACACCGCTACCTCCGGAAGTCCGGCACAGATATCCCGTTTTGCACGCAAACTCAAGGTGTATCATCACAGGGCATTATCCAAAGCCGGGAGGTTAGTTCATATTATCACTTTACAAAAATTTTCATTACAACAGGTGCCGTTGATAAAAGCAAAAAAACAATGCCTGTTGAAAAATACTAGCCAATACCGTGGAAAGCGTGGCTTTACGGCATCCAAACTTTCGACGCTCTCACATCCTATGCAGTGCATATTTTCTTATACTGCTTGCGCGGCAGACACATCACTGAATTTCAGGTTTCAAGGCGCATGCATCCACCTGGTTGTGTAATTGGCGGATCAATGAAGATGGGTGCGTGACAGGGCAGAAAAATTAGCCGCCACTTCGCCTGTCCGTCGTTATGACGACGCATGTGCGAGGAGACAGAGCAGGCAATACACTTCCTTCATTTTCTTGTGCTGCCCTATGCCGTTTTTGTAGGAGCTGTGGTCAACAGCCAGAAGCCTCCCAGGTAAAGAGCGTTTGGCTACTTTTCAGCTAGAGGAACGGTGCATGTGCCAGAGTATTCTGAAGAAGTTTGGATTGCTGTTCGCGGTGCTTCAAGGCCGAATCCATGTAAATTGTGATCTTCGGTGCTTCTGCCAGGTGTGCCAGGCAATGGAGGCAATGCAAGGAATGGGACAATCGCATTGAGACAGGCGAAGTACTGCCCACAAACCGCAGCTTTTATTTTCACACACAGTAACGTAAGCAGCGTTTCAGAGGGTTTCGAGAAGCCGAATAAGATAATGTGAACAGTTCTACGCCACCACGAAGCAGGCGTCAATCAGATCACAGCTCACAATCCCCATGAAAATTTTAATGGTAGGCAGTTTCAAAAACCATTGTGCGAATGGACCCTAAAGCTTCACCTTTAGGAGTTGAACGCGATAGTGATATCCTGCTCCTAGTGCGTATTTCAAACACTCAGTGCATGAAAACTATTCAAGATTGCTATGCACCCACTATAAGTAACCCTAAAAGAATAGGCGCACTAGCGTGTGTGCCTTTTGTAGTGCGGTACTGATTGTCAACCACGAAGCCATTATGATGATCACATATTTCGACGCCCGTTGACTATGGACGCTTGTACCACGCATTATTACTGCAATACTTCATGTTGCATTGTCAAGCATGTATACAGAACCCGTCTGCATGTGAAGCATGAAAGCTACTGTCACTGTATTTCCAAGCAGAAAAATTTCTTTTCCCTCTTTTCACAAGCACAGGCGTGGCCATGTGGTAGAACATCCGCTTGCACGCAAATGACCTGGGTTCTATCTCCACTCGGACCCGCTCAACTCTGCTTCGGTCCCCACTCTGCTCCAGGACTTATTATCATTTATTTTATTTGCATCGATCAAGATCTTTCGGTCATGCATAAGATGACAATTTTTCGCTCACGAACAACGACGCCGATGCCGGAACTTCTGAGCCCTTTAATGCTATCCCGACAGCAGCTGCCATGCCGCCATCAGGCGTCACGGGAGCTGCTAGTGTTGAGAACAGCTTCGAAAATTTGACGGACGAGAAGATATTAACACGTTTCTCCCTTATGCTTCGAGAGGTTCGTTTAGTGGCGCTTCAAAGGGTTACGAAATATAAAACCCATTTGCTTGCATCAATGAGTCGGCGAGGTGTGATAAGAGAACGCGTTGCGGAGAGGATGAAATTAAAAGGACCATATAGCTACCGAGTCAAAGCAAATCACAGGAGAGGTTCGACACAAGGGAAAACTATTGACTGAGAAACGCACATTTCCGGCTGGCGCTGTAAAATTGTGAGGGGGTGAGTCATGCCTCACATGTAAGTGATGGGTTATAAATAATCATGTCTTGAGGGCTGCTTTTAAACCTACTGGGACACCTTCTAGGTGCTAGTTTGTGCTTGTTTTCTCTTTTTTTCTTGTGCTTTAGACACGTACTAGGTTTTTCTTATTTTTTTCTTTGCTAGAAATCTTTCATAAACAATATTTACATGGCGTTCCTTTACAAATATTTAAATAAAAATATTTTCACAACCATATACTCTTTCTTTTGTCGTATTTCTTCATGGTCCTGACAGTGGAACCATTCTTGTGTTTATATTTCAGAAAGGACCGACTGCTTCTTCTTCGTCACCGAACATGATGTTCACCAACCGGATCCCGACTGCAAATATATTTTCGAGAACTACTGCCGCTCTCCGAAAATTATTTTACGAAAAACGACATCAAGGCATTGCATGCTATAAAGCCGTACTTTGTTTTGTCACGTGGTCTTCTTCGTTCATTATAGGATTAAGTCGCTGTTTACATTATATTTCATTTCAAAAAATAACACACCGTAACAGTTATTGTATGAATAATACAGTGTTGCTAAACACATGATGAAATCGCCTGCGCGAGAAAAAAGAAAATAACGACGACCGCTGAATCACCCTTTATCTAGTGTAAATGCAATAAGGCGTCCTTCTAGTTCTTTTTTGTATTGCTTATTTGTTCTGGTATCAATGGATGTCCAATGGTACATTCAATGTTACCGACAGAATCTATTCAAACAGGCTTCAAACAGGTGTGACGTTTTCATTGTTATCTGCCGATGCATTATCTTGTTCCACTGATCGGTGTTCTCATCTATTATTCAAAAACAATCATGGAAACTGTCGTTGCAGCGGCACCCGCTCTTGAAGAATTTTCTCATTTCTACCAAGAAAGCGGCTCGCAACAGAAAGGAAACGGCGAAGTTGTTCATATCCTAATTCAAAACTGAGTAGAACACAATGTTGAAGCTCAGAATACTTAAAACGTGTTCGTACCCATCTTGAGATTTTCGTAGGAGGCTCCACACAGAGACAGATCCTCATTGCCCGGATCGCGGGGAAGATTTCTGTACTTTAGCATACATGCTCTGGCAGTGCCTTATGAAACAGTACTGTGAGAGAGCGTAGACCCATGGCCTCCCGACTACAACATGCGACTAGCTGACAGCAAGGCAGGGGTCCTCTGTAGGACAGCAGTGGCCGACTCCTCAGAACTTTAGTAAAGTTCCTGGTCCTTCTGTCTCCCATGTCTCCCAAGTACTAAAATACGCCAAAGAGAGAGCGGTATCTGTAGGAAACAAGTTCGCGTTTTACAGCCAAACGCAACCACCTCACGCGCGCGAGCACACACGCACGCACACAGGCACACACACGAAAGCCTATGTGTGTTGCCCACTCTTGAGTTCTGGCGCTTCCTAGATAGACACATGCAGTAGGCCAGGTATCAGGCTAGTCGGAGATAAATTCTGACGTAAGCCATTTCATGACGCAGAGCATAGCTAGTACGATAGTTTAACAAACTCCTGCTTCCACAAGCTGCCACTTTCAACTAAGTTGCCCGATTCCTTGTAAGGCAGTATCATGAGATAACATAGAAATATATGGTGCACTACTTGGGACGCTAAACCCCACAAATCAATCATATATGGTGTACTATCTAGGAAGCCGAGATGGTGTACTATCTAGGAGTGAGATATGACGTAAGGATGCGCATGCAAAACTAACGAAGCTGCCGCACAAGTGAATAATTGAAAAATAATGCCATTTTTGTTGCAAATAATATTTGCATTTCTTTATCATTAAAATTAAAGCTAAACAAGAATTATGTGATGATTTCTAATAAAACTGCACAACAATGTACCGGAAGGTTCTGAGAGAAGGTAACCATCTTACAAAGAAATGTCAAATGTGAATGATCTTTGCCACGTAGTTTCTAAGTCATACGTGTGAAATGAAAGAAACAATATATCGCGCTTCGGGTTAAAACGTCCGCACCTTTATTCAGCTTTGCTTGGTACAACAACCATTTGCAGTGTCATCATTTGGCATAAAATGAAGCACTCTTCATTCTGGGATCGCACGCAGATACGTGGCCAAAAGTTACATCACATAAGAAATAATCCTACGCTTTCAGATATAATAAAGACAATTACCGGAGCGGCTAAAAAGTCGTCAGTTTCAAATATATAGCTCGAAGCGTAAATAGCTGCACCGATTAAGTAGAGCGGAATCAGCTGCTGCAACGCATTAGCTAAGAAAACAAAGTCTGGTATTCGCCAAAGGCCCACAATATTAGGCCGGGCGTTCAAGTGTTGGTCAGCCTGTACATCATCCAAGATTTCCTCTTCCGGCTCTTCCGAGCCAGACGCCCACTGTTGCAGAAGCGAGGGCTCTCCGTTTATGCCCGGCATCGTGGTCAGCCGTGGTTCGAGCACGTCTTCCAATATAGATGCCTCAGCACCTTGCAAGCTCGTCTCGACGGGTCCTCGTTCAGAATCCACTCTTCCGTTCCGCTCCGAAGGCGTACGCAAGTCATCCGACGACACACAAGGCACAGGTTTCAACGTCGCTGTTCCTTGACAACCCGGTGTCAGAAGCTTGAAGTCGTGACCCTCCTCCTCATGATTTTCCAATGACCCTGGCGACAATGTGCAGAGTAGGGTTGAGGTGCTGGTAGCAGAAGTTTTGAGCTCACCTTCAGAAGCCTTTCCGCTGTTTTCCAACTCGTGATGAGGCAGCACACGCTGTTGTCGCGTACACAACTCCGGGGCACGTTTAACTTCACTGAAAGGACCTTCCAACGACGCAATACTCGATGAAAGGCTCCTCCGAGACCCGTAGGCTACATTAGAGCACATATGCTCATCGCCTGGTCTTCGAGGTTGCTCGACAAACTTTTCCATATTCTGTAGATCTTTCATGCTCGAAACAACATCCGGCGGTCCATTGCTACCACTCCCGTGTGCATCTTCCCTCAGCTCTCTCGAATCGAGCTCGAGCAAAAACTTGGAACTCTCAGGTCTCGTAGCCACAAACTGTGAGCGACGGCTCCCTCCACCGCAATACTTTTCGTCGTCGAGCTCACGGTTCGACTCGGCGGCTTGTGTCATGACAGATTTTCAGAGCAAGTGCCTTCGAAAAGTTCGCCTTGACTGATGCTTTTGTTAGCGTGCAAGTGTAATGAAGTTTCACCTTAATGCTACAATCGTGCATCATGACATCCCTATAAGGTGCGTCGCGCCTATTTCTAAAACTAGCTATCAACTGAAGCGCTGACGCACCAAAGTTTACTGCAACCAAGTGTCAGGTGCAATTTTCGTATCTATTTACTTCATCGCAGTATCAAAGGACAACAAGGAAGCAGTGAGATTATTTTTACAGATTTTGCTCCACCACATGAATGCATATTAGATTAGTTCGTTTAGCACTGCGCACTTTCTCAATAATATTTCGACGACGTACCGGTTATTTTGTGCGCGTACCAGTTCAATGGTTGTACCCATTTAGTGCAAGAACAGGCTGCGTAACATGCGTTGCAATGATGGGCTTCCGCACGGAAAGTGTGAGCGCAGCAACGAAGAAGTGGCGCACATAGCTTAATTCGTGTCGCGTAGGGGACAGGCCCTCTGAGCTAGCACAAGAAAAGACAGCGCTTGAGCCGGTATCATTACAAATTGATATCCGTGCTCCTGGGTGCCCGGAAACAAAAGCACCAAATTCAGCAGATCCCACGTACCGTGGGAATCGTTAATACCTGAGCCGCGTCCATCGGGAACCATTAAAGGTGCTTCCGGTGCCATATCATCTATGATACGTGAAGCGTGCAGAAGTTTTTCGCTACGCAGCACTTTTCAACCAAGCGCAACCTAACACTGCGCAGATTACATTGGCGAACTCCTGTGTGGTTGTTTAAGCATAACTGAAAGCAGGCGCTAGAAGTACGGGAAAATATAAGCAACAAGAAATATACATCTTGTGAGGTATATGTCAATTCGTGGAGAATCTTTCATAGAAACCCACATTTCAAGCATTCGGGGGGTCGTTGCAACCGTATGAGTCTACGCATCGTGAGAACAACAAGCAGCAAGCAAACAGCAACTGCGATAAAAATAACGTTGATAATTATTATATAAGATGCGAAGCAGCTTTTGACTAGCTCTTGTAACGCTGTCCCTCTGTCCACACCACTCCTCTCGCCGCAGGTGTTGGAGATGTGCCAAGTGGCTCACGCCCTCCTAGCAGTGCGCGGTGACGTCTCTCTCCCTCACCTGCCGCATGTCAGCTTTCTTTCGCTTTACCCTCTCCGTCGCTCGCAACGCTCGAGTCCACTCCTCACGTGAGCATCATCTCACCCGTGTCACCTATATCCATCTGGCGGCGAGCAGAAGCCACGAGCCGGTGGGTACACGCGCTGCGCGCACCTTGAAAATCTCGTGGCGCCGACAATGGGGAAAGCGCCGTTGCTTGGCGCGCAATTCTGCCGAGGGGCGGGACGCACTCATGGCATGCTTCCCGCTAGTGTGCGCGTACCTTTCCCGGCTGTCGCTGGCGTTGCGAGGGTTAGCGAAGCCGATCGCGTTCGTGAATGGCGACGTCAACACCGATGAGACGTGAGTGAGGGAAGCCGAATGCAAGTGTCGTCAGTGGAAGACCAGCGACACCGACGAGGTTCAAGTCAAGAACACCGATCGCGTTCGAGAATACAGAAAGCGCGCGGGTAACACCGACGAGAGGCGAGCCAAGGAAGGCGAGCGCAAGCGTTTTCAACGCATCGCACCTCCCGTGTCTTTGCATTTTAGATAAACGTTTACTCGAGTAAACGCTACACCGAGTTTCACTTCAAACCACTCTTCCAGCATCCGCGTCGACGTGCGTTTAAGCGGGTCAATGCCGTGTGCACCACCGCTGCTTCGCATCCCATCACGGTTCCCTTCGCGGAGATGGTCCCCAGTTTTCAATAATAATAATAATAATAATAATAATAATAATAATAATAATAATAATAATAATAATAATAATAATAATAATAATAATAATACAGTATGACTTACAACTAGGAATGGTTACGACTCGGTTATTTCACGCTACTGGGAAAAAAATCATACCTTTTTTATAATTCATTCTTTTCGCAAAACATTTTGAGCTACAGGATTCTGTTTGTGTCGTTACGGCTCAATAATAAGGAAGACAGACAGGTTATATAAGACCCGATTATGTATTGTGAAAGCCTACTTATTCTGAGCTCCTTTTTGTTTTTATAGGTTATCTATTAGCGTGGTATCTCTGCCGGCTTTATACGCTGCCGAAGTGACTGTGCAGCAGGCACTTACATTCATGACACCTACAGCCAGCTAGTGTTTTCTAGGCCACAACGACTAAGTTGGCTATCTGTCCAATCGTGTTTCAATATGACTCGTTGGCCATGGATGTTGCGACGTACGTCTCTCCACAC